ATAATCGTCAATGTCAACTAACACCTAACATGTTCACAGCAGAAATTAGAGAAAGGGCAAATTTAAACTTTAATGACTTAATATTCCCTGTAAGTCTTAACCAAATCCGCACGTTTGAGCGCAATAATCCAGGTGTTAGTGTTAATGTGTATGGTCTGGATAAGAAGAAAAAGAATCATTTCATGGACCCGGACAAACACATTGTCTACCCTCTTCGTGTCGCAGATCGTGAGTTGGCCAATCACTTTGACCTACTCCTTATAACAAACGACGTCACTACCCACTACGTTTGGATCAAGAGCTTTACGAGATTGGTTTCATCCCAGCTGACTCTAGGAGAACATCGCCTTTACATATGTAAGCGCTGTTTTGCACACTTCGATAATCGGCCAACGAAGTTAGGTCTTAGAGGAGAGGAACGTCTTTTGGAGCATCAGCGATATTGTTTTAACAATGCTCCGTTAAGAACTGATCTTGCGGAAGACAAAACAATACATTTTAAAAATTTCGAACGCACTCAACGAAGTCGATTCACCATATACGCTGACTTTGAATGCGCACTCGTACCTCTTGAGCCTGAACAAACAATCGATCCTCCGCCAACTGTTCCACCGCCAGTATGGGATCCCGCATTAGCAAGAGGAGCACGTCGAGACCGACCTGGTGAAATGCACAATGCCAGAAATGTCCATGTACCATATGCATACGCCTATTACATTCGAGATGATAATAGAAATGTAAGTGATGGTGATACTGATGACAATGATCACACAGCTTTGACGTTCTCCAAATTGCGTTTGTACAGAGGTGAAGATGCCGCCCAACACTTTATCAAATCGATACGGGATGACGTACAGAAGATTGGTGATATAGTGTATGGGCAACGTCTGCCGAATGACCCTCCACGGTTAACACAGGTGGAAGAGGATTCTTTCCGCGAGCAAACAGTATGCTACATATGCAAGCGAGAATTCACAATACTCGACCCCCGTGTTAGAGATCACGAACACTCTCCTCCCTATACTTACAGAGGAGCATCACACCGTTCCTGTAATATCCGCCACAAGGAACAGGACACTATCAACATTTATCTCCACAATTTATCCAATTACGATGCTCACTTTATCATCAGAGAGCTATCCGTTGATAAAGGAAATATAAATGTACTCGCAAATACGGAGGAAAAGTATATCACATTCTCCAAACGATTTAAATATCCGGGAGCAGGTCGGCAAGGTGGTCTCAAACTACAATTTGTTGATTCCTATAGGTTAATGTCAAAAGCATTAGGGACATTAGCATCAATCCTGCCGGCCGATAAATTAAAAATTACAAAGTCACGCTACCCCAATCAAGAACAGTTTGATCTGCTTAGGAGGAAAGGGGTATTTCCGTATGAGTACATTTCATCGATGGAGGTGCTCGAAGAAGATGTCCTTCCACCAAAGTGTGTATTTGGAGAAGGAGTGAGTGATGCGGATTACGAGCATGCGCAGCGAGTATGGGAGAAATTTGACTGTACGACCCTCGGACAGTATGCTGATATCTATTTGGCGACTGACGTATTGCTATTAGCAGATGTGTTCGAGGGATTCCGAGAGATGTGTCTAACACATTACGGATTGGACCCAGCGCGTTATTTGACACTACCATCATATGCTTGGGACGTAATGATGTTCAAGACAGATGTTATCCTTGATACCCTACAAGATATTGATATGTATCTGTTTTTTGAGAAGGGTATTCGAGGTGGACTGACCCAATGCGTTACTAGACACGTTGTTGCCAACAATAAGTTTACCAGAATGGAAACAATTGGCAATGACCGAGACGGTCAGAACGCAGCAGCATCAAGTGAATATTGCGATGAAAGAGATGACGATACATTTATAATGTATTATGACGCAAACAACCTTTATGGGTGGGCAATGTCGGAACTGCTCCCTCATTCCGAGTTTGAGTGGTTATCACGTCAGGAATGTGACGACTTGGACATTGGAAGAATTCCAACAGATGGTGAATATGGATATGTGCTGGAAGTAGATCTAGAATACCCCAGAGATCCAGCACTGCACGATCGACACAGGGATTTACCATTCTGTCCCGAGATATGCAAAGCGCCGATTAACCAACTCCCATACTCGTTGGAGGAAATTATCAATAGTGGAGCAGGAAAATCGAAGAAACTAATGGCCACACTGATGGATAAGAGGGAATATGTAATTCACTATCGCTACCTACAACAAGCTATAGAGAATGGATTACGTGTAACTCGAATCCACAGAGTGATTCGTTTTAAACAGTCGGCATGGTTGAAACCGTACGTGACTATGAATACCGAACTTAGACAGCGTGCTGTAAATAAATTTGAGGTAGAAATGTTTAAACTTATGGTAAACGCTGTCTACGGTATGAGTCTTCAGAATGTGCGCAAACATCAAGATTTAAAGATTGCATCATCCCGCAAAACATATACAAAGTATGTAGCAAAAGCTAATTTCAATGATCGTATTTGGTTAAATGAGAATCTTGCCATACTGAATATGTCAAAAGTGCGGGTAGTACTGAGCAAACCCGTCTACGCAGGGATGTGCATTCTGGACCACAGTAGGAGGTGGATGTATGGTTTCCATTATGACATGGTAGATAGGTATGGAATCGATAGAATATCGATGATTTACATGGACACCGATGGCTGCCATTATTCAATACGTACTAAGAACGTATACCGCGACATGTTAGAACATTTGGACGACTTTGACACCAGTAACTATCCCCGGAACCACATTTGTTACGACGGAGGAAACGCTAGAGTTCTGGGGAAGTTTAAGGACGAAGCTGCCGGTGTGGCCATTAAAATGTTCATTGGTCTGATGTCGAAGCTGTATTGTTTCACGTATAGCATCTTAACGTGTGCGCCTGAAGGAGACAACGGAGATGGTGCCAACTGTATACCGCCGCCTGTGAAGAGAGCAAAAGGGGTAAATAGAGCAGTAGTGAAGCGTGATCTCACCATAGAAGATTATTTGAATTGTCTGTACAATAAAACTACTAAAAGTACAGACAATCAACGTTTTCAAAGCCGTCACCACATTTTATACACTGTTGTGGTGAAGAAGCGCTCACTGGCACCGTTTGACGACAAACGATACGTAATGCCAGAAGATGGTATCAACACGCTACCTTGGGGACACTATGCAATACCACCATTAAGGGTACCACAGATACTTGAGGGACCTTAACTACTGCCACTGACCCTTTAGTGGATACGATACTCTCCAATTGCGCCACAACCTCTGTCCCCATCATAACTGATATATTATTATTGATTAGTAGACCAAGGTCCGCATGAGTGTGATATTAGGTAGAGTTATTTATTGAACAGTCTTCATTAGTATTAGATTTTGAATACAATTCAAAGATGTTTTGATAAATAAATTCTTTAATTTTTTCCACTTCAAAGTCACGTGTAAATATTTCTAGTCACTGACTCCTCAAAAGTATGCATATATTTGTAAATAGTATTTTAGTTAATAAACAGATATATTTATTTCACAAATTCTGATTGTAATTATTTTCCTATCATTCATAGTATAATATTAGACTTTGAACAGCATTCATAGACTCTGAACAGAAATATTTTAATAATAAAGGGGAAAAAATCATTTTGTTTTCACATTTAAATAATCAGAGTCTATGCGCTTTAAACTAAAAATATGATAATAATGATGATGAACACAGGTAATAAAGTATAACAACTGAAAATATTGTTTGACAAAAGGAAAAAGTTTATTGGTAATAAAAAAAATATATATATTTAAAAATATATATAATTTACAACAGTACAGTGATTAGTTTGTCTTGTGATACATTTGAGTAAAGAGTCTTTTGACGATTCTATCATTACGATCAGTAGTGTGTTCATCAAAGAGTTGAACAAAATCCATCATCTTCATACTGAAGTGTGTGCTGCAATACAGGAAAACCAAACAGTAGTGGGCGCAGACTGAAGACGTATCACCTTGAAGTCGGTATGGATTGTACAGGTAATGATGAGTGTTGTGTCGCAGGAATGTTTGATATAGTGGTAAGTATGGCGGTTGGCCGTAACTATCAAAATATTCAAGCATCCCCTCTCGATTCAAATAGAAAGCCACCCAGTGAGTCCCACCTTCATTGTGTGGATCAGTGTTTACAATTATTGCAGTGTGTGGTGAGATGCGTCGTGGGATTCTGTCAGCAGCGTAGACTCCAACATTGCGCACAGGAAGTGTGGCTAGATATTTTTCAATCTGTAGCGTGTTCATTCTACAGTATCATAACCAATAGTAGCAGTAGATGCTGTTTTTGTTGTACTGGTAGAGGTGCTAAAACAAGAACAGTAGTAGGATCTCGCATCTCCGCTGGTATCCAGACATTCGTCCAAATTTGTTGTCAAATGCAACCAACCACGTATTGCGACACAGTTGGTGAGCGCACATCGACTGTTTGTAGACTTGTGATTTCGACATCGTAAAACGTTTGTTGACATTAAATTATTGATTGAAGTGATTGATTCGCAACCAATTGCACCGATATCGATTACATTGGTAGTAACAAAGTCCATCACATGATGACGCTTTAAATATTCTTTCTTTTCCAATCCCTTGACATAAACCGTCGGTCTTTTTGATATACAATCAGTCAATTTGTTAAAAAGTTCGTAGTACGCAATATCACCGAACTCCCATCGTAGTCCGTGGCAGTGTTTTGTGAGCCAGTAGCTTTCCCTCAGTTTTTCATCTGATAACTCTGATCGATCGTAAGGTGGTTTAGCAATATGATGCATAAGTAGTATGCCGGTGTCGGCTTCCAAGACGCAAACTTCCTTCAGTGTATATTCATTTTGATTGTCCTTGAAACATTGAATGTCCACAATGATGGGTGATGATATATTCAATTTCTTGAATGCTCTGCGTAAACGGTCCATCTCAAACGAATGTTTATTGAAGACTGATCGATTAACCGCCAAAGTCCACAATTACATTGCGCTGTCGATCAATCTCGATAACATTGTCAAACTCGGCATAAACCAAACAGTTGACAGTTTCGGTAAGCGCGTCGTCGAATCCGAGTTCCATTCGAACACTACCGTTACGCACCAGATTCCAATGTGTAGTGTCACTTGCAGATAAATCTGGTGTTAGGTCGAATGCCATCAGGCAGTATCCTTGACCAAAATCTTCCCTACTGATAACAGTGCCGGCATCGCTAAAATGTACACCAGAACCGGAGAACATCGAATGATATGCCATAACATATTTATCCTTTGATTTTTCAAAGTGGGGCTGTAACGGTTTTGATGGAACTTGTTCTCCGTCAACATATAGACAAAAGAAGTTTGTTTTAAAATGTTCGAAGTTGTAGGGATTCTTTTTAAAATCTCCATTGTATGCGGCGTTCGTAACCATTCCCACTATGACGCGTTTCGGCACTTGGCCGAGAAACATATTGTCCAAAGTCTTGTTACGTATTCCAGAGGGTAGTGTGAATGTTTTCAGCTCCACTCGTGTGATTGGATATTTTGCCGTACCAGTCTGGAGTGTTTTACTGTGCGCCAACAGTGCGGTGGGACTTATTTTGCATCTTCGAATCCAGAGACTAATATCGACAATATGTACCTTGAATTCACCAGCACTGGCCATAATGGAGAAAGCATCTTTTGATCGAATAAATTTAAATCTCAACTCTACGCCATTTAGCATGAACTTATTCTGATTGCAAATATCCACATGCAAATGTCCGAGCATATCAATCTCACGGCTTTTATTAGTTAGTTCCCGTCTCGCTTTGAGTCCTTCATTTTCTTCCGCACAATCGTTCATGTCAATTCCATCGTCAGTGTACCAAAGACTGCATGTTAGATGTGATTTTCTAGCATCGTATCCATAGTTCATTAACGTTTCAACATACGCTCGATATGCGTATGTGTTGTTTTGGGGAGTAACAAGTTTTTGATTCATAAACATATCAACTTGACTGAATAGTGAGTGTAACCAGTTATTGACCGGCCCAACTGTTTTCGCCTCTTCGTCAGTAGTGACCGCAGTTCCGTTAGATTTAACAATAGACGCGGTCAATTGTATCATTGTTTGTGAAAGGTCAGTGTATTCATCACCATTACCCGGAACTACAAACTCTATTGGCGCATCATCGGTCAATGTGGATATTGGTTTGTACTGGACCCATTTGCCACTTTCAATACTCGTCTGCGTAGGTGGTAAGGAGAATAAATCCAGCTCGGTTTTGACACACTCACATGATTTTTGATGTAGGAACGACATTTTTTTTCTCCTCCTTCTTTAACTAACTAAAAATATCAATAGACTTCGAATTTTTACTGCGACGAGTACGTTTCTTCGGCAAAGTCACCTTCTTCCTTGGCTCTACTCCTCCTCGTCGTCGTATCCTCCCTACTAGTCTCTTGTGTTTCACTCCTCCAACTCTTCTTCTTCTTCTTGATGTAGACGTCCGCACCCTAAGAAGTTTAGCCAACGACTGTGGTGTAACAGGCTTTCTGCCACGGCCACGCATTGCGCGTTTCGCGTTATTCTTACGCGTTACGCGTCGTTTCCTCGCGCCAATGTCGCCGCCTCCGCCGCCATTAAGCATAATACGTTCTATCTGTTCGTCAGCTTTACGTTTCAACGATCCAGTAAACTCTCTAAGTCGTAAGTTGGCGGCTGATTTTGGATCTGTAATTTTACCACCTGCCAGATCGGTTAGGAATCCAACACTGGATCTTAACGCTTCTTGTCCCACCGATTTTGCTCCGGACTTGATCAGTGGCGCGATAGTGCGAATCATACCGCCCAGAAAACTACCGATTCCATGTCCTCGCTGATATGGTGCACCGTGAAATACTCGATCGATAGCACCGCCAGTCTGTTGTAATTGTTGCCGTCGGTAGTATGCCAAATAGGGATCATTCAGATTGATTATCATTATTGCTGCTGTTGCTGCTGCACTCTCCTAAAATGAAGTTTCACGTACGACGTTCCAAACATGAATGGCAGTTTTTTCCCTGTGTGATCCCTCAAGTCGATTTCCACTGTTTCAAATGTGGATTTCATAACGGGTACATAGTGCGGACTTGTGAATGACACTGAATTGTACGAACCGTACTTGTACGTATCTATATTGATGTTGACTATATTCAATAATGGCGCTGTAGTGTCGCCGATAAATTGTGGCTCTATCAAGTCGCAATACACATAAATGTGCGCTGGAATACCCAATGCGAGGTTTGGTGCTTTAGAACCAATCAATTCGGTAATATTGGGTTTTAATATATTTTTCTCGTCATAATCGAAACCCAACTGCTGTGATAGTTTCTCACTCAGACTCACATTCGATACGTTTTCGTTCATGATCCTGAGTTTAACTCTGTTGATTCTCGTGTCGTATGAAAATTCCATATAATCGTGGATGTCTTCATGTTTGTTTATTGTATTCAATAGATCATCAAGATTCCTATAGTATCCGCCTGTAATTTTAACAGCGAACTGTTCTGTATCACGGATCGTCGATCTCGCTAGTAAACTATCATACTGAAATCGTATTGTTTCGTCATCAACATTGTTTTCATTCACCACAAATGAACAAGGATAGTGAATGTCCACCAAAGCCAACTCCCACTTGCCGTCTAATTGGATGTGTTTGGACAAGTGTGTGGTATAACTGGTCACTGTATTTTGTGGGAAATATTTCATAGAACTATTGCTGGACAATGTCATAAAAAATTGACTGATACTACTAGACATGCTGTATATCGTGCGCAGCTACCCAAGAGTTAAACTCGTCTCCGTAACCTTCCCACTTCACTAGGTATCGCTTACTGTGTCCTCGACCTTTAGTCTCTATTATTTTATCAATCTTAAACAAGTGATTGTCGGGTAATGTAACTTTTTGTATTTCCTCTTCGTAAAACTGTCCATTCAATTCTTCACCATTGAGATCGGTAAGTGTGTACAAAGGTAGTGGCGTAAACACATTCACTCGATGTATCGAAAACACTTCTTTACTCCAGTTTGTCTCGTAGCCTTTGCTAAATCTCCCTTTCTCCCTGGCTATTCGAACTGTATCACCTACTTTTAGTTTTGGTTTCACTCGTCGTGGTATCCTTTTAAACATATGTTTTAATACATTGTAGACGACATGTTTGTCACCACCGTCCACGTCTACAGGGCGTAGTCTATTGCCCAAACTCCTGTGCACACTATTGTTGTACGCATTCACCAATTCTTCCAACACATTGATGTAACGATAAGTGTTTTTATGAGTCAAGTATCGCCACATACGAGTCTTCAAGGTCTTATTAACTCTTTCGATCACCCCGCTTTTGATATCAGGATTTTGTGTGGTTACATATTTAATTTTATATTTTTTAAACAATCGTACGGTCTTTCTACCTGTGAATTCACTCCCTTTGTCGGTTTGTAAGCACGTTGGTGTTTTATTAGCTTCTTTGAAAATATCCTCAAAAGCGGTAGACACCTCAGCACCTTCCTTCTTCTTTAACGGTCTAACATAAAGACGCTTACTAAACACATCAATCACTGACAGCAAGTAGTTAAAACCATCATTGTATTTGCTCAATCCTCGCATATCGTTTAAATCCGCCTGCCATAGTTCATATGGTCGAAACACCATATAAGGATTGCGTTTAAATCGTTTACGGACTGGTTTATGCAAAGTATAAGTGTCTTGTGTTTGTAACCAATCAACTATTTTACGTTTGGAAATATGTTTCTCTCTCGCTCCTCGTACTAACGGAGCTACGCCGCCATACGAGGCAGGATCGTTTGGATTATAATACAACTGTTCCATTGTTTACGGTTCGTACGGTTCCCAATTGTTGAGTGACTGCACAATCGAATCTTGAAGTACCTCTCTTCTCACTGCACGGTGATCAGCCACTTGCCTTTGTGGATACGGAGCGTGACCCACCCGCCTGACATATGCAGACTGTAAACGATCTGGTAATAAATATCTCCTTCGCCCTGTCACTGACAGCGCGGCTGCCCCCCCTCTTGCCCCATCATCAGGCTCATCCATTGTTTCTTCTACCGAGTCATATACTGATTCATCTGTTGCCTCATCAAACGTTAAATAGTCCAACGCTTGTTTGTTATGTATATATTCTTTAGGGACATTCATCAGTTTCAATGCGCTCAACATTTCGTTCCATCCTGGCGGTAATGAATGTGCCGCTCGAACTCGTACGATTGCATGTGTCACATCGACTAAATTGGATCCTGGTATTTTGTTACCCTGTATAATCACTTCAAAATTATCATTCCAGCTAATCAAACTGTCGTCGCGTGTTATGAAGCGCAATAAGTTTCGAGCGCTATCTTTATAAGTCTTTGAAAATGTTTCAACAATTTCCTCTATTTGTCCAGGGTAAACACGTCGCTTGTTATGTTCTTGCTGCCCATACTGTCTGTCTCTTTCACCAGCCTCGTTAATCTGATCACCTAGTTTGGTGTTCACAATGGGGATACTAACTGGTTCACGATTACTTGACGCTACGTTTAAAAAACGATGTAACACTTGACTGTACAACTTCCATTTATCACTATCATTGAGTTTTTTATTATTCATTATCTCTTCCATTTCGTCATCCAAACTTTTGTATGAACGTTCAGTTGAAAGTGACTGTTGATTAGCCGGCGATTTTAAACGATCAAATAACTCTTGTGGAACAATGACCATTTTTCGTGCATGCTCCATTATCGTGTAACTCTGTGTAACTTCACGCACGGTGTCTCAGAATAGAATGACAAATCTTTATATGTATGTAGACGTAGGAGTCACCTGATTAATACAAATTTTAGTTATTTAAAGCTGATTGTACAACTGCTTGCAACACAGTACTTAATAATAATGGGATAATAGTTCCACCTCCTTTTTGTACTAAATATTTGCGTTTTTTATTCCAGCATTCACCTCGTTTTACAATTCGACGAAGAGTAGTCTTGTGTCTTCGCAATTTTTGTTTTATCTTGTCTGATAGAGGAACGTTACCTCGTAACACATTGTAAATACATTCACAAACTGTACGAATAGTACTCAAGTTACACACTTTTAATAGCCCTTTGCGCTCTTTTGGAGTAGCCTCTATTAACACTTTGAGAAGCGCTCTGTCCTTCCTCAAGCACGACATGATGATAACTAAATTATTTTGTTTTCCTATTTTGTTTCGGCATATACACAAAATGATTATCATCATCTGGAAATATATTACTCTGTATTCGCATATCGTCAGGTGTTGATTGTTTCAGATCTATCAATAGGTAGCCATGTGGTTTACTTGTTGCATCGGTATACGCATCCTCGATAAACTTTGAGTTTTCTGGATGGATTTGTCTAGCTAAACACTTGATCTGCACCCTATCTCTAGGATTCTTAAAACATACTAAGTAATGCGCATTTAGTGATATGTCTCTCTGGCCACGTCCTTGGTGGAAAATATTTTGAGTTATAAAAAACACACTAATATTCCTATGGTGACAACCTTTTGTAAATAAATCAACCACTATGTTGTTTGTTTCTCGCATCATATCATCTATTACCACAAGTATCGGTTGATTACCGTCAAAGTCTTCCATGTTTGGTAGACCTTCAATGTATTTTATTTTTGAGTTTAATGAATTACCAACTCCTCCTCCACCACCGCTACCATAATGCCAGTATATGCTAGAGAATAATGTGTCACACATTTCTGAAATATTATCAATAAACCTTGAGACAAACACTGATTTACCACTACCTGAAGGCCCCGCCACAATGGCGGAGAATGGGTGTAACCACTTCAAAGTCATACTAACTACTGATACCAATCACTCATTGCTTTAACTATAGTATTACCTTCGGGTATAAGTCAATCATTTTAGTCATGTGTTTATGTTTGTAAATAAATCAAAAATTTATTACTTACAAAAACTATCAAAATCTACATAGGTTATTTTAAGAATATATATACATACATTTTTTTTTATTTACGTCTTGATGTTTTCTTGCTTTACAATATTTACACAAATTCCAACGGAGTGAATGATGCGCCGGGCCTGGGTGAGCGTTTCACCAAGCGAAGGCGATCTCCGAAACCGTTGTTGTAGCGATCGATGTCGGCATTGCTCACCACATCATTGAAGCGTCTCGGCAGATAGACTCTCAGGTAGTAGTCATCTCCCGTCTGGGCCTCAAGGATGACGATGATTGTCTCGCCGAATGGTGTAACCGCTCTCTCCATCATCGTTATTAGGTATGGAACCTCATC